CAGTTTCCGGGCTTCGACCCGATGCAGTGGGCAAGGCCCAATATGTGTTTATATGTTAATGTATGGTATGTGGTAGTTTGGGGGAGCTCACTAAGCTTCGTGCTTACAGTTTCAGTTTGGTTTCAGGTACTTCTGCAAGCAAAGGGAAGAGCTCGGGGTGACAGCATCGCACACACCACAGCATAGCTTTTATCCTGGGGATGTCTTTTGATGTTTTGGATTGATGTTGTATGATACAGTTTTCCGCACAATATTTTATTGTGTTTTGGGGATACATCGCATATGTTTTATGTTATGATACTTATATTATGGTTTTGATTACATTGAAAAACGAAAATTTTTGGGTCGTGTTTTTGGGACGTTTCAAATTGTACTCCCACTGTCCTCTTTGCATATAAGCTCTCTCTCTCTCTCGCGAAAGACTCCCCTTCGCGCTACAAAGACCACATTGTCACTAGGTCTGTAGAACAAATATCCAAAGGACCTTTGTGGGTAGCCAATGAAAATGCATCTCTCAGATCAAGGTTCAAGCTTGTCGTGAGTCTCTCGTCTAACGAAAGTTTTACAGTCTCTAAGGCATACCCCCAGAATGAGATTGGAAGTGAAGTTCGAATCATCATGAACAAACCATGTCTAACAAGGTTCGATTACGCCTCTCAGCCACACAATTAAGTTGTGGTGTCCTAGGAGGTGTCACTTGTGAATCTATTCCACATTCCTTGAGGTAGTCGTGGAATTCGTTACTAAGATACTCACTACCTCTATCGAATCTGAGCATCTTGATCTTCCTGCCCTATTGATTCTCGACTTCTTGTTTGAACTCTTTGAACTTTTCAAAGGTTTCTGACTTATGCTTGTTCAAGTAGATGTAGCCATATCTACTATAATCATCAGTAAAAGTCACATAGAATCAATTTGCATCCCTTGCGGTGGATCTGAAGGGCCCACACACATATGTATGTATGAGATCAAACAATACTTCACCTCTTTCACAATAACTAGTGAAAGGTGATTTAGTCATCTATCCAAATAAACAAGACTCGCACGTATTATACAGCTTAGAAAATGGATGTCGTAATCTAATTGTGAAATAAATAAAGGTGGGTAAATGACGATTTACCAATTTCTCCACGAAAACGAAAGTTTAAACGAATTAGGTTTTTAGTGAATTCCTAGATCTTTTGAGACTCATTGAACTATTTAATGGCATGTTTAATCTTGATTATGCTCTTCCATTTGTGACAGGGATACCGAGGATCACAAACAAGATGTGAATATCCATGCAAATTAGCTTGGTCCTCTCGATGTCATTTATCATCTAATCAATGTGTCGGTTAGCCAAACGCTCCATTAATCAATGATAATTTACAAGACACCCATCGCTACCCTTTATTAGTCCATATTAGTGTGTTGGTTAACCACACACACTCCACTAATGACTTATATAAGTGCAATGTGCAATTTATGGATTAGCATCAAAGTCACATTTTTCCTAAATTAACTAAGATTAAGAATTTTATAAAAACATTTAGTTACTTAAAAATTTCATTATACTTATTAATAAGAATTATTTGTCCTATCAGACCCATTAGGCTAACGACCCTCCACCAATCAAGGAAGCGGTGGGTGAGAGTGGACCCCCATTCAACTACCATTTTATAGCCAGATTCCTTATACCCCATTATAGATCAGCTTCGTGAATGAGGTGTACTAGCGGTTCGACTGACTTGTCTTATATATATAGTAAATATTAAACATTTAATTTTAAATATAGTATAAGGTTCATTTTAAACATTTCAATATACTAGGGTTTATAATCTTTTAAATTTCAAAATTAAAACAATTAATTTAAATTTAAAAGAAAATGATTTAATAATTATCTATTTATTAAACTTTTAATTAATTTATTAAACCAATTGAATATTATCCAATTAAATTAATCAAAATAATTTAACCTAATCCTCTCCCCTTAATTTTGAAAAAACATGGGTGCGATAATTCAAAATTTATAATTATCCAGTTAATCACATAAAGAGATAATTACCAAAAATAAGAAAAACCTATCATGAAACCCTAGTTTTCAAATATACCTATTCTTGGGGAGGAAGCCAAGGTTTTCAATCCTTTCCATATTTCAAAAATCAAGAGCGTTTAGGAAACCCTAATTTCGAAATTTGTAGGACAAGGGAAAAGGGTTATAACCCTTTTTCAAAATTTCGAAACCTAGGGTTAGGAAACCCTAAGTCCAAAAGGTTTAATTGCCATAAACCCTAATTGATCAAATTCAAACAATTGTAATCAAATTCAATAGAAAACAAGCACAGGCTCTAATACCACTGCTGGGTTTTGAGCATAACAAACAATCTTATGTATACATGCAACACTAATTGACATAATATATGTTTTATCTAATTAAACATACAAGTATTGAACATAAAAAGGAAAACCCTAAGAGGTATATACTATTTTCAAAAATCATAATATAAGATAGTAAACATACCTTTAATTGTGATGTAGTAATAACAATGTGAATCCAAGAGTTCTTGAAGCATGAGAGCAAGTATCACACCTCTAATGAACCACACCCAAACCAAGCAAGAGGATGAGAGAGGAGAGAGGAGGAGAAGCTCTTAGAAAATCGGTTATCCTTCTAGGATTCAGAGTGGCCAAAAATTACAAACCCTATGGGTCTATTTATAGTGCATATATGATACATGGGATAACCCTAATTTGAATAAAATATTATTAATTCAAATTGGTAATTATCCACCTCCTTAATTATCTACTTAGTATAATATAAAAAACCCTAATTATCCTTAGTAAAATCGTCCACCACTTTCTAGGAAGGTTTTGGAACCTCTTGCTCAACTATTGAACAATTGCACTTTAGACCTTGCATTTTCAATTAATTCTTTTAATCTCAAAATTAATTCGAATTAATTTCTGATTAAATATTAATTAAATAATATGATTTCTAATTAATATATTATTTTCATAATACATTAATAAATCATTTATTTCAATTCATTAATCAAATAATAAATTTAATATCTCTCCAAAAGTCATCATGTCTAGTTGCTAGTTATGAGGGCAACCCAAAAGGACTGTGCTACTATCAATTCAAGTATATACCAATTATAGTTATGGGCTTAGACACCTAATCCAACATGAGGTTCCCAACTTTTGGTTTTGTGAAACATGTTGATGCTAAAAACATTACAATTTGGGATCAACTGCTACATTTAGTTTTAGTTTGTAATAGCAAAGTAATTTGATTTTCTTACACATTATAGCAACGCATTTTCATTTCACTACCAATAATAGTAACTTACTTAATTCCTTGTTGATAATAGGAACATACATAGAATTCCTTACCAATAATAACAATGTACTTACATTGAACTTTAACTTTTGTTTTTTAATACATTATACTTTGAAAGTCTTATTTATAAAACTAACATGACTAAGAAGAATATTAGAAATTGTAAGAATCAAGTTACCTTCTTTTCATCTCTAATTTGGTCACTAGACTTAGAAATATTTAGATTTAGATGGTTTATTTAGACCTTAATCATGTTTTTAACTTTATTTTGTGAAAAACATCAAATAATATTTTCTAACATTTAAAATTTTTGCAACAATAAAAATCATTGTAGCTTAATAAAAAGATTTATATATATATATATATATATATATATATATATATATATATATATATATATATATATTATTATTTACCTTTATGTTTGTTGTTACCGACCTCAACTATAAATCGATTCTCGAGGGTCATGGTTATCATGGCACTCCTTACCTAACTAATATATATATATATATATATATATATATATATATAGAGAGAGAGAGAGAGAGAGTAAGAGAGAGAGAGGAGTTAATGAAGTGGATCTCCTATCTATATTCGACAGCTTGAAGAGGGCAGATTTAGAAAGCAAAATTTTCATTGAAAGTGATTGTTCCTACCACAGTCAAGTTCGGTATTTACTAGCAAGGAAAAGGGTAGGATCTACCAAGACGGGAGTGACTTTTTTCTTTGCTCTTCAACAGCCAAGTCTTGCAAGGGGGCCATAGAGAAGGTCTTTTCACACCTCCTTTGGCTCTTATTTGTTCTCTTCACGATGATTGGTCGGGACCTTTGTTCCCTCTTTTAAGTAGAGAGATGTTCCCTTCAATTGAGAAAATAAAAAAGGTTGAGAATGGGGAAATCATTCTCAGCAAATCATTTATTTTTGCCGCAGAATTCTCCGGCGTACCGGACCGACGGGGGATAAGTAATATTCATATATGAATATAAATATAAGTGTATTCGTATATGAATACACCACCTCCCATCCGCCACCAACCACCACCGTCGCCGCCTCCAACAACCAGCACCACTGTCGCCGCCACCAACACCTCTACAACCAACCACCACCAATAATCGCCACTGCCACCACCACCCACCGCCGCTATATTCATATATGAATAATCATTTCCGCTATACTTATTCGTATATGAATATACGTCTTCATATATGAATACACTTATTTATACGTATTCATAAATGAATATGATCTGTTTCGTCGGCCAGGTACGTTGAGCGTTTAAGTGGCAGATTCGAAATGAGTGGGCCAAATTCATTCCCTTGTTCTCAACCTTTTCTTTTTTTCAATTGAATCATTCCCTATGAGGTCACAACAACCTTTTTCTAAATAAAAGATAGAATCTAAAAGTGGCCGGTTTCAAAAAAGGATAAATTACACCATTCATCCCTCATGCACATGCCAAAAAGCTTGTTTAGTCCATATTTTCAAAAATTAACTCAGACCGTCCCTATGTTTGTTTTTTCTTGCACGCTTAGTCCCTATGACATGAAATAACTGTATTACCCTTTTTTATTTCTTTTTTATTTTTTTATTTATCAGTTTTAAATTAAAAAATAAATAAATAAACCAAATGTTCTAACCTCTACGTATGGGACTTCCCTTCTCTCGTTCTTACCTCCTTCACAGCAGACCTACATCACTGAACCAAAACACCATCACCACCTTGATCTGAAACTCCATCGGCAACTTCCGACGGTGGCGTACAGGTGGGTGAACAAGGAGAACAACGACTTCTGACAAAGCACCACCATCTCATATTCACTCAGTCACCTTCTCATCTCTTTTGCAACTACACCGACAACCACACACCTAGAAATCGGGCCTGGAACAGAAAAAGGGTGCAAAATCGGAGGGGTTTCTTGAAGATCATTGGAGAAGACGAAGGGTTTACAGTTCTAAGATGATAAGGTTAGGGTAAGAAATCGATTCAATCGATGCCAATGTGATGTACCATCCAAAGATTTCTGAAGACGGATTTTCAACGGTTTTAGTTAGGGCATAAGAAGGAGAATAATTCAACCTGTCTTTCTCTACAAATCGCAACCACTACCACAACCTCTGGTTTTGATGTTGTGTGTTTATACCCATAACAAGTCTTAACACAGATACAACCTTATTCTTCTCCCTCGAATCGATCACCAGATGCGTCTCTTTCTTCTTGTGAAGTGAAGAAGACAACCAATTGGGGGTTAAGGGGTAAGAAATTGATGAACATCGAATTAGACGAAGTGTAGATTTACAACCCCCTCTTGCCATCTCCCCGGTATCGAATCATATTTGGAAGTTTACTGAATTAGATCTACTTTCAATTTAAGAACTCTAAATCATTTACTGATTTCGAATTAAACATTTCCATGCCATGATTCTTCCTTCCTGATTTGCCTTGATTATTCTTTCTAGATATATAGGTGGGTTTTTCGATAGAGGTTGTGGTGGTGTTAACAGTAAATGATTGGTTCGATGTTGGTTCGAGTATATGGAGTTGGTTTGGTGAATGAGGTGGTGGTTTGTGGTTATTTTCAGTGAAACATTTGAAATTTAAACGAAGTAGTGGATGGGATTAAGTGAGGGGTGGCGGTGGTACTCCATTTTCCGGTTAGGGGTGGCGGTGGTGCTTCATTTTCCGGTGGTGATGTAGATTACCGGTGGTGGTCAAGTGTTATCCAACAAACCAGAAAAATAATTGAAATAATTTTTAATAATTAAAAATGTAAAAAAAAATGTTCAAAATAAATGAAAAAAAAAAGGTATTATAGTCTTTTTATGTATCACAAGGGATAAAACGTGCGAATTTAAACTAACGAGGGATGAAGCGTACAACTTTTAACGACATGAGGAACAGTTCGAATTAATTTATGAAAATATGGACTAAACACGCTTTCTGGTATGTGCACGAGAGACGATTGATGTAATTTACCCTTCAAAAAACTTTGGAACCATTTCACCATTTTTCTCTTAATTTTTGTATGATAATATATGATTTTACGTTAAATAATATAAATTGTTTTTTCATATAATATTTGCATGTGAGAAGTCTTTTTCATGTTTTTGTGGTTCGGCAGCTTTTAAGAATAACTGTATATTTTTTTGATGGTCTATTTGTATATTATCGCTAACAAAGAATCTACCTTAAAGATGCTATAAAATGAGTCATCAAAACAATGACATAGTGAAGTAAAGATAGAGGATGTAAAAGGAAAAAAAGATGTCACGTTAATCCCTCTAGTTTTATACACACTTACAACTTCATGACCTAATACAATCATACAAGGCAAATCATCGATAATCTTCTTAAACTCGTCAATCCATACTTACCGTTAACTAATAACAAAATTAAAACTACTACATAAGCAACATTCAACTTTCTTATATGCTCACCAACTGTTGATGCTAAATGAACATATATATGTAAGTTAGCTTCCACCATTGTTGTACTGTCTATACATGTTTACGTAACGAGGTGAAAACTCATAAATAAGATCACATAGCCTAGGCATCACTTTCCTTACTAAGTTACCTCCTCCAAGTCACTGTGGGACCCATTGTTATACATTACAAAAATAGAACCAATCCAATAAAAATGTATATAATAAAAACAGCAAGAAATGTAAGATTATCCGTTCAAAATTGCAACATTTCCTCTTACGGGAGGAGGGTAATTCCGTCTTTTTTCAACTTATGTTACCTACATCGACCCTTTCGTAAAACAAGATGTAGCCATGATCCGTGTTGCTTGAATACTCTTGTGCGGACCCGAAAAAAGTTTGCACAGCTGATGCATCGATCATTTCCACATTTTCATCATCAAAAAACAACCAATGATTACGGCTTTTCACGAGGCTCACGTAGTGCCCGTGGTTGGGCCTACTTCCGACGTGGACCACCACCGCGAAAAGAGAATATTCGGCGTCTGTGTCTTCAACGGTGTTGCTTAGTTTGAGCTCCACGGGGAAGACCACACGGTATGAAAGCTTTTGGTAACGCCCGAGTTGCTCGATGTATTTGAATCTTTTTAAATGGATGACTGATTTGTGGTGGTTTCTTGATCTTCATTCTTTTTTGAGTTTCCTGCAAACTTCATTAGTACCCAAAAGATTTTAGTTATTTGTTGTGTTTACTGTGACCGTTAATAATGTCAATGGGACAAACAGGTAAATTGTCAAAAAGATTTCTTCATGTGAATGTGAATGATGTCAATGGCACAAATCAATGTGAGTGTGGGTGCCTCGGTTCAACCGTAAAAATCGATTGAGAAACTCAGGTGTGTTTGTTTTTTAAAAGATAAAGTGTTTGTAGTCTTTTTTTATGCGCTGCTGTAAAAAAGTTAGCACCAATTGTCAACCGTCTGCATAAAAAGTATTGTTTGTTTTTAAAAGTTTGTAGGCTAGAATTTATTTTTCATAAAGTAAATGAAATCATCATCTACCGGTAACCATATCACCACTATCATCTTCTTGAACCATCAATTTTTTAAAATTAATAAAAATCATGTTCAAATTCAAAACAAAATTAACCAAGAACAAGATAAAATCGGAATATATATATATATATATATATATATATATATATATATATATATATATATATATATATATATATATATATAAATAAGGGACAAACTTTAAAAGCTAAGGGTTAGAAATGTCTTCCAACTTTAGAAGTTTTTTTTTTTTTTGATCTTCCGCAAAAAGAGGAGTTTTATGAAAAATAAACTGATGAATCAATGAATCGAGTAAGAAATGAATCAAAGTATTAACATCAAAGTAAGTATGCGAGATTTGAACACCGATGTAAATATGATCTTGTTTCAGCTCTATTACGCTTGCAAGTTTACAGAGTGCAAAATTGACAAGACTGTAAAACCTTATCTAAGTCTAGTAAAGACTCCTATTTATAGGAGAGGAAAGCGTACAAAAAATATGCTAAGGACTGAACATTAAGCTTCGAATACAATGCCCTAGTAAAATAGATTACAGAGAATACGAAGACAATACTACATACGAAGACCTAAGACACTTTGACTAATTACAACCAAATTAGCTCTTACAATCTCCTCCTTTGTAATCATAGTCGAAGTCTTCAATTTGTTAGCAGTTGGATTGAGTACATCATTACACTTCGTATCTCAGTGTACCAAGCAATAACTTTCTTGATCTCCTTTTTATCTCCTTCATTATTCTTCCTTTACTGATTCATACGAACAATTAAGTTTGTATACTGGGAAGTAGCATATCTCTCCACTTCGCATGTTTTAAATAAGAAGCATTTAGCCCTTCCAGCTTTATCCTTTCCAGCGAAGACTATTCCCAAAGGCTTTAAGCAAATTTCACCATCATCATACTTTTTCAAATCTACTTGCTTCTTCGTAGGAGCCATTGGAGTAGTGATATCAATTTCCTTCGCAGTAGCTAACTCCACATCAGTTTCAGCAAGACACTCAAAATAGTTTTCAATAAAAATCTTGATGTGTTTAACTCCAAGCTGGAAAACATCAGGCTCTGTTTCTTAAAGATGTGAAAAGGATTTGTCTTTCAAAATTAATGCAACTTGTATAAGATCATACAAATTCATTATTGGAAAATCAGCAATAGTAAACTCACACACTTTTCCATTCGATCTGATCACAATATATTTGAGATTTTGAATAACGCCTTCAAAGATCACATTTGTTTTGATACTTATCACCTTCTTGATTTTCAACAATGACCAGACCTCTTCTGGTGCTTTTGCAAACACAACATGAAAACGTATTTTCATCAGCTTTCCTTCATCTTTGTCTTTACAAGTCACTTCGGCTTTGAATTGAGGCATTATGAACATCATTTCGTTCACAGGAAAACCAAGCTGACTTGCATCAGTGTTTGTAACCACATAGCTTTGTTTAGGCACCTTTTCAAAAGAATACATGTGGTCAATCATAACTTTAGTCTCAATCATTTCCTAGTTGCACTGCTTCGAAGGATCTCCTTTTTCTAGATTTGGAGGATCTTGTGCACGAAGAGCCATAATGCTCAGTACAAGCCTCATTCTTTCAAAGTCAGCATCCACTTCTGCCTTCTTTTCTTCCTTAGTCTTTTCAATGATTTTGGCTTTACCCTTATCTTTTGAATCAGACACTCCCACCACTACCTTCGGTTTTGAAGCACTTCCAACTGCCTCACTAATAACAACTCCTTTCAAAATTGGTGTGGTCATATGAACCATTGTAACAACAGTCGAAGTGACTGGACCAGCTGACATTATAACAGGATTCAAAGTTGGGATCTTTGAAGGAAACACTTTTCCCACCACCTTCGAATCTTCTCCACTAGCCTTCACCTCTTCACCAGCCTTCGTAAATTCACTTTTCTTTTCTCCCCCTTGCACACCTGTGAAAACAGGTGGGGCATCCGATATCACTGGTAGAAGGCTTGAGATGCGAGATAAAGGAGACAACTGTTTGTGTAGTATGGATTCGAACTGGATAAATTTCTACGATAAAAATTTTGGAGTGATGAACGAAGATGAAACAGGTTTCACAAACAAATTTGTCAACTCCTTCAACAATGCAACCAATTCGCCAAAATTTTTATTTTCCATTGTTGAAAGATAAGTAAGTTGAGGACTCATGCTTTCGTACAATTTGACAAATTTGGTGACCGCGTCACAAATTATGTCAACTTTCTGATTAATCGAGGCATAGTCTTGCTGAACGCTATAAACCTCCCTCTGCATATCTTCACGAAGTTCGTGAACCTGCATGTTGAAATCTTCTCTTACTTTCTTTACTTCCTGAATAAACAGAATATGTCGTTCCCTTGTCACCCTTTTCAAATCCTTGACCCCTCCCATAAAATCCGATTTTTGAGATTTTACACGAAGCTCATTATTTTGATCAGTGCAATCAACTTTTTCCAATACCGCAGCTTCCGAATCTTTCACCATTCCTGAAACTTTGCTTGTTATTCTTGCTTCGAACATCTTCAGCATAGTATCAACCTCCAAACTAGAAACTGATGAACCACCCCCAATATCAGCCTGAGACTGAATGATAGCATTCAATTTTGTATTCAAAATCTTGTACTGCTTCATTGTCATCAACATGTGATCTGGAAAATTTTCGTCCTCGATCTTCAAAGGTTCCTCCAAAACCTTCGTTATCCCTTTCAGTTTCCAGCATCATTGTATCATCAACAGGTGAAGTAGGCTTGGGTGGATCAGCGAATTTTGAAGAAAATATGGAAGTGAAGGGTTGATTGATAATGTTTTGAAATGTTGGTGAATCAGTGGTAGAGGTGATTGGAGGTTAAGACACAAGAATTTCAGAAGTAGTAATAGGATTACCTTGACTATCAGGCTTTGTCCCTTCGTCACCCATGTTGACATTTGTATATGTATTAGATACGTTTATAGTGATGTCTGAAGTTCGTGTCTCCTCATTAGATGACTTGACAATCGGAACTTCAGGTGGAATAACAGTTGTTTCTTTAGGAATCGAACTTTCATTGACAGGATTGAGTTCCTGGAGTTTCAGGGATTCTTTCGTCTTCGTCTGTTAAGTCAGTGGAAATAATAAGCTTTCTTGGCTTCTTCTTCTTCTTATGAGACAAGTGTTTAGCCATATCTTCATCCCTTCGTTTATTTGATGACGGAAACAGGCACTGGAACTTCTCGAATTAACATTCCTTGATGTGTCACTTGAGGCTTTCAAACAATATGGGGTGAACATTTTCGAGAATGCTTAGACTTCATTTTAATTCTACGAAAAACCGTAGTCTTCAAAGGAATTATCTCTTTCTCTTGAGTTTCTTCGACAGTGGTAGACTCGATAGGTGTAGACACAACACCAGAAACTTCAGGTAGAATAGGGTCATCAACTGTAACTGGCTTCTTCTTTGGTGACTTTTTAGGCTTCGTCTCCTTTACAGGTTTTTCCGAAGAACCAGATTCATTCTTCTTCCCACGTTTAGGCTTCTTCTTCTCCTTTTCCAATATAACACCAGTTTTCACCGATGTGTCTATTGTTTGTAATTATGCCACTAACACCGAGTTCGAAGGCTCAACTATTTTCAACATTGCGTCTGGGATACGAGCTACAAACGGAAATTCATCAGAATCATCAACGACCTCCTTTGGACAAGTATACACATGGAAAGTAGCTTTGTCTTCGTAATTTGACACTAAAATCCCCTCTTTATCATAGAAGTATTGCAAGATCAAACTCCAGTATCTTGCACACGAAATGCCATGAAGAGTATCAGTGTTCTCTATACTCTTCTTAAATTCTTTCCATAATTGAGAAGCATAATCAACCTGTAAATCATAGTATAGCCCAGCAACCATGGCATATACTTCCATTCTCCCTTTGTCAAGACCCACTGTTCTTCCAGTTAAGCACCTCAAAAATATCCCAAACAGAAAATTCCATATTGTAGGAAGACCCGACTTCTTGAAATCACTAATTTTTGACAGTTATGGTTGATGTCCCATCTCATTGAACATATGGACAATTTGAGGAAAAGAGCAATCTGCATATGGTGGAGAATTCTGAATGTCTAGTATCTGACAAAAAAGTTTCTTGGTGATTCTAACCTTTTTGTCATTGATTAGGTTAAAAGTAACCGCATTAAAAAGCCTTGGTGATGGTAGCCGTTGAACCCGCCTGAGATAACCAAGTAATCGGCACTGAGAAAGAACTGAACATCGCCTTTGATAAAAAGAGCTCTTCAAAACAACAACGAGCGTCTTTAGTTCTTCTGGATATTGTGACACATCAGATTCCACTTGGTAGTTAGTGCCCTGAATCTTCATGATTGGCAGTGAGGAAACATCTTTAGTTGTTTGAGAAGGTTCAGCATTGACATTAGCAGTAGTCGACATTGTTAGGGTTTTGAAGCTTTGAAATTCAGAGAGAATTGGGAATTTTCTTTGAATGCGTAAAGTGATAAAAGACCCTTGAATCCCCTTTTATATGTAACCCTCCTATTTGAATTAAAAGCGGGATGTGCATTTAGTGACTTCTGACGTGACACCTTGAAAACCGGACCACTACTCCGTAAAAATAGCCATGCGTCAAAAAGTAACTATCCCATCTCCTTGAAACCCGGACAGTAGACCATACGTCATTGAAATATATGTATTGTTTTCCCCAAGAGAAATGTAACCGTCGGAACCCTTCGGACGGAAGTAATGCTCTTTCACTTTTGGGATGAAAAGCGAAGTCATATGCCAGATGTTTGAAATCATCAGCCTGAGTTGGTATGACTCAGAACCTCAAGGATTTCGTGAGTGCAGTGTTCCAAAGAAGTTTAGAAAAGAAACAATGAAAAAAAATTTGGGATTCTGTGATGTCAAAAATTTAATTTGACACGAAGGCAGTTAAACATTGGCAAAAGGTTGCTTCGTTAATCATCAAGTGAGATGATCAACAGCTTGTATGTTCCCGTAAAATACAATCGAAAACTTGTAGATAAGTTTCGAAGGGCATCTTTTATAAAGCTTCATAGGTGGCTTAATAAATTTCGTTACATTTCAACCTAAACATAAGGTGAGTAATTGTAACTGAAATTACTTGTTTGACCAGTGTAGTCAGTGACAAGTTTGCTTTGAAAATTGTTTAAAGTGACTTTTGGTTTTGAATTAAACTCACACGGAAATCATATTCATAAAAAAATTGTGTTGGATCTTTTTGGGTAACAAACATTGTGGGTTTCGAATGCTTGATCAAGACCACTCATATGAAATGAATATGATTTGGAGTTTAGAAAATAGGTACCGAAACAAAAGTTTCGTAAAATCTAGAACATAGTTCCCCGTCAATTCCTTAATTTGCAAGAAATTTGGGTTTCACTTCCATCACGGTCTCATGATGTCAGATCATTAACACAAATTGTTGACATGTCTAAGTCTCGATTGGTTTGATCAGAGACCTCTTGGACATATGTCTTTGTGTGTGAGCGTGAAAGAAAGTTTAGATGAAAACGATTGGTGTAAGACACGAAATGTACCTCTGTTAGATTTGTACAAAACAGTAAACTCTTTACTCATATGAGAAGATTCAGGTAGCTCGGGAGACTAATGTGAATATAAGCCTGATTGGGAAGAAATCTTCGTATGAAAATTTCATTAAGGCTTTCGTACACACACATTGAGTCATTGGAGGCTTCGGACAACATACTGCAGCATGCTTCTAGGGACATCTTAACTAGTTCAAAATATTTAACATGTAAGAATTTGTAAGATAAATGTACCTGACCCTAGAACTGTAAGCATTATCCTCTTCGTATGTTCAGAAAGATTTGCAACAAAGTACTTAAAAAGAAAAAAAAATATAAAATCTTTTTGTTGTTTTGAATTTTCGAAAATAAAGAACGAAATAAAGTGAAAATCTTTTTGATGTTTTTGATTTTTCAAAAATGAAGAACAAAAGAAAACGAAAATCTTTTTGATGTTTTGAAGTTTTCGAAAATAAAGAACAAAAGAAAATGAAAATATTTTTGATGTTTTTGAAGTTTTCGAAAATAAAGAACAAAAGGAAATGAAAATATTTTGATGTTTTTTTTTCGAAAATATAATGACTCAAATAAACTAAAGTACTTGTTGCAAACATACGAAATTGTACCAATCCCCTAAAAAGTGACAATCGTACGAATTCGAAGCGTTCGAAGAGTTGACTATGAACAGTAACCTCTAAACACTGAACGATTTTGCTTTGTTACTTATTCAGCGCCTCTGACTCATTCTTGATCATTCACTATTCTCCTTTTTCGCACGGAATTGAATTTCCATCTATCATTCTCAGTCCTTCCAGAATTCGTACAAACAATTTTTCATCCAAGGCTTTTGTGAAAATATCAGCTAACTGATCATTTGTTTTCACAAAGTGTACTTCAATATTTCCATCTTCCACGTGATCCTTGATGAAGTGATAATGAAGCTATATGTTTAGTCTTCGAATGCTGTACAGGATTATGAAAAATTCTTATTGCTCTTTGTGAATCACAATATAAAGGAATCTTTTTCATATTAATTGCATAATCATGCAATTGACTTTGGATCCATATAATTTGTGAAGTGCATGCAGCAGCGGCAACGTATTCAGCTTTGGTCGTTGAGATAGACACACATGTTTGTTTTTTCGATTGCCAACTCACTAATTTTCCATCGAGTAATTGACATCCTCCAGTCGTGATCTTCCTATCCAAGTTACAACCACCCAAATCTGCATCCGAATATGATTGAATAAAGAACCCAGTATTCGAAGGATACCACAATCCTAACGAAATAGTTCCTTTGAGATAACGAAAGATATTCTTCACAATAGTGAGATGTGGTTCTCGAGGATTTGACTGATACCTAGCATAGTTACACACAGAAAACATGATATCAGGTCTACTTGTTGTTAAGTAAAGTAAAGATCCAATCATGCTTCTGTATAGAGTTAGGTCAACTGAAGGTGTTGTGACGTTGATTATGATGGCATGTGCGGAATAGAAAAGATCTAGTGAATCATCTTGTAAAATCAAGAAGACAAGAAGTAAATAATTCTTGTAAGCTCTCATTAGGTTCATAGAAAGAGTACAAATGGGTCTTGCAAATTTTCTCTCTCTAAACTAATGCTCTCATAAGTGTTCCTTACATAAAATGAGTGCCACTCACTTCCTTATAAAGGAAAAGCAACTCATTACACACACAAGTGGGTAAAGACTCATCCAAGCGTGACTTTGCACCCTAACATTCTCCCCCTCAAAGTTAGGATTGGATGTCCGGCTTCAATATCCAACGAGCTAGCACGATCAAGACCAAACTCCCCCTCGAATTATCACCGGTCTTCAAGATCCGCAAAGAATATCAGAGAAACCCGCTTCAAATACCCATCATTCTCCCCCTTTTTATAATAAAAAAAATGATTACAAAACCCATTAAGGGTGAGAAGCACCCGAGGAAATAATCTTCACAATACTCCCCCTTGATGTGTATCAAAAATGAATCACCAAAAATCTTGCACGAAAAAACAATCACGAAAAAAGCCTCAAAAAATTTACAATTTATGCGAAACTCTGCAGGGACCCGTTGCGCCAAAAACAGCCAAATATGCGAAACTCTAGCCCATTTGCAAAACTGGGCATAAAGAGTAAATTCGCACAAACTGCAGGGACTGATCATGAAACTTCCGCATTCTTCACATTTTTTGCTCAATATTCGGAACTGGACCAATTTTGTCATTTCGTGAAAAGATGAGGGACCAATTTGGAAACATTTGGTTATCTTCCCCAATTCGTTTGTAACAGAGAGTCGAATGGAAGTTTGACCAAGGAAAGTCAAAATCTACTTCGACTTCAACTCTTGCAAATCGAGACTCCCAGGCTTCCATGCTCAGGAAAAATCTTACAGTAATCATCGACTCTTGATTCTACATCACCAATCCAAAAAAGATTCGACATTCAACACTATCAATCGTAAAGTGAGCATCTTTGCTTTCTTCCTAATCGACTTCAAAATCAGTCGATTCCAATAATCTCCAAAATCAAATCAACCATTCGCTTTCAGTCCTTCATCATTAATCATTGAATGATTGTAACACATACTTCTCTTGTTGAGACTAACCCAAAATCGATTTCACTTCTCAGTCCAAATCACATTCCAATATCCATTGACATTAAATTCGTCATCCATACCTTTATCCTTCGTGACCATCGACTTCTCTTGCAATCGGTTTCTTCTTCCCAACACATTCCAAATCGACAGCAGTACTTCGATTAGAATCAGCTAGTATTGACTCAAATTCCAAGAATCGACTTCACAGATTTTTGATTCCAGTACATCCTCAAAACCGACATTGACATTAGCAAGTCGATTCATCACTTCCATTTACAGTTCATTCGTCAATAGAAAACCTTTGTTCCCAAATCTTTATTTTAATCCAAATACGACCGACAAATTCGACTCATAAGCTATCTGATTTCGACTCAATGTGAACCATCAACAACAATTTTGATTCCAAAAAAAATACCGCTCAATTTTCAATCGACTCAAATCAATTATAATAGAATCGAAATCGTTTTCAAATCACAGTCGAATCGATATAAACCTCAGTTAATGAATCAATTTTGACTTTTGGCGTTGACCATCAAAATCGAATCGATCAAGAATTTTGATTCTGAATCAGTCAATGAAGATTGATGAAATGTTGAAGCAAATTTCTAGAACAAAGTCGTGAATCAAACAAGTAAATTGGAACTAAACTCGAATCTTGATGAATGATACACGTGAATTAGAAAACAGATGAAGTTGTCGATGAAAGTTTAATCAATTGTTTGAAACAGAACTTACTCGATGTGTCGGATCAATAAAAGAAACCTGATGAACAGTAATGAGTTGGACTTTGGGCTCACGATTTAATCAAAACAAAAATCATGTTTGTATTGGGCTTGATCTAATAAAAAATAATTGGATCAACAATTGGATTGAAACGGATTAGATCCAATGAGGCAAATCGATCAAAAATGAGAAACGCAAACTTCGAATCGAAATCATCGATGTTTTGGAATCCATTTGAGAATTTGAGATACCTTTTTGATGAATCGAGTTCCATTTTCAACGAACGAATCGAATTTAGAAGATCTTGGTTCTTTGGTTGGAACCAGAAAATCTCCAATTTGAACATTGTACCACCTATTATGTGAGATGTACAACCCGTTCTTCGTGTTCTTCGTGTTCTTCAACGATCCAAGAACATTTTCAAAAGAACCACCAACACTTTTGGGTTTTGACTTCAAATTCAATGCAACCTTTGGAGATTGTTGCTTTGGAACCCAAATTTGCTTCACAGATTTCGGCTTGACAACATTTGACGATTTTTGTGAGTAAACCCGCTTGTTTTTGCAATTGATCTTCTTCTTCTTTTTCTTTCTCATCTTTTTGCATCTTGAAGGCTTGATTTCATGAACAAACCCACTTTCCACAACTTCAACTTTATGAGTTTGAATCAAATCTTTTGGAGTTTGATACTTGTGAATTTCTTGGATCACCGGCTTTCGATAAGGAATCATTCCTTCAAACGAATCACAGGAACACAAAATATCATCAGTTTGAACTCCAATCGTGCAAAAAACTTTTTCATCTTGAAAATCAACTTGAATCTTCTTATCAAGAACTCCAAGAACATCAAGAACATCACATTGAACTCCATTGTCTTAAACTTCAACAAACTTAAGAGCACAAAGATCATTTGGGTTTTCAATTAGAGAAATGTATTTCTTATTGAGCAAATCTCTTTCTTCTCCTTCCTTTTGATTTCTACTACGGACTAATATTGACAATCTTACAAAGTGGTTGAAACACCAAACTTCCATGATCATCCTTCAAACCTCCATAAGAAACGAAATTACCCCATGAAATTAGTTTGCTTAACACAAACCCATAAAATGGATCTTCATTGACTTTGTATTTGATATCATCAACGATCACAATCCAAGAATCATATGGCAAATCCACCATGATTACAAAAACTTGAAGATTTCTAGAGAGAGAAACTAATTTTGAATGGGGTTTCTAGAGAGAGAAAGTAAAAATCACTTGAATTCTAGTGAAGAAAATTGAATTATGAATAGAATCAAAGATGATTTCGATTTCTAGAATCCAAAAACTCTCTAAATCATGAGGATCACAGATCAAAAACAAAGAATCACCAAATCAAGATTGCCATCATGGATCAATTATTGATCAAATCAAGAACACCCACTCTGATACCAATTGTTGTGACGTTGATTATGATGGCATGTGCGGAATAGAAAAGATCTAGTGAATCATCTTGTAAAATCAAGAAGACAAGAAGTAAATAATTCTTTTAAGCTATCATTAGTTTCATAGAAAGAGTACAAATGGGTCTTGCAAATTTTCTCTCTCTAAACTAATGCTCTCATAAGTGTTCCTTACATAAAATGAGTGTCACTCACTTCCTTATAAAGGAAAAGCAACTCATTACACACACAAGTGGGTAAAGCCTCATCCAAGCGTGACTTTGCACCCTAACAGAAAGTTTATCTAACGAAGGAGTTAGTTTTATGAAGGTTGCCATAGGAACTCGTAACTTTGTGCTATTTGTCATGCCATACTTTTCCAGTAAGTTCTGCAAATATTTTTCTTGATTTATAAAAATTCCTTCTCTATTCTGGCGAATGTTTAAACCAAAAAAACTGTTGATTTTACCCATCATGCTCATTTCGAACTTGCTTTTCATCAAGTCTTCGAATTCTTTAGAAAAAGCAGGGTCAGTTAAACCAAAAATGATATCATCAACACAAATTTGAACAAGCATAAGATGATTTCCAACTTTCTTACGAAATAATGTGGGGTCAACTGATCCTTGTTTAAATTTAGATTGCTTCAAAAATGAAGTAAGAGTCGCATACCAGGCTCGTGGAGCTTGTTTTAACCCATAAACTGCCTTATCTAGAATATAAACATGATTAGGATGTTCTTCGTTTACAAAACCTGGGGGTTGTTCCACATAAACTGTTTCTTCGAGCTCTCCATTAAGAAATGAACACTTCACATCCATTTGATAAACATCAAAGTCTTTGTGAGCTACATAAGCCAAAAATATACGAACCGCCTCGACTCTCGCGACAGGGGCAAATGTTTCTTCGTAACCAGTTCCTTCTTGTTGAGAGTATCCTTTAACAACAAGTCTGGCTTTGTTTCGAATGATATTTCCATCTTTGTCGGTTTTATTTTTAAATATCCATTGTAATCCAACAACTGAAACATTTTCAGGTTTAGGAATTAACCTCCAAACCTTGTTTTTTTCAAATTCAGATAGCTCAGATTGCATTGCAACAACCCAATTAGAGTGTTCCATTGCAACCTTAACAATCTTTGGTTCAATTTTAGAGATGAAAACATTAAACATGCAAAATTCTTGATGAGTATTTACTACCTCATTCTTTGCCCGAATCTGTGCTCTTGTCAATACTCCTTGTGGATTTCCAATGATTTGATCCTTCAGATGACTTCTAGTCCATTTTGCCATAGGTGGATAAGTTGGATCAAAGTCCAAAGGTGCATCTTCGAACATATCATCATTTTCTGATCCAACAATCGAACAAACATCATTACGATCTTGAAAATTTTCATCATTTTGGTCATGCTCCCCCTCAACAACATCATCTATTCTCTCATTCTCCCCCTCGAATGAATGCTCCCCCTCGAATAGAGTACTCGAATCCAAGTGCTCCCCCTCCACTGGATCATTTTGCATACTTTCGTCTATTTCTTGAGGAGTTGATGTTGAATCATCAGTAAGCTTCGTAAGTTCTGGGATGTGATTATCAGGAGCATTAAGTTCAGCATCAACAGCATGATCTGAAATTCCAAAAATCAAATCATAATCAATATCAACCATTTGTAAGGGTTCAGATTCTTTTTGTGTTTCTTTCAAAATTGGATGATTTTCAAATTGATGTTCATTTTGTTTAATATAGTAATCATCGAATGTAAGATTAAAAGTTTCTTCCACTTTTCGTGTTCGCTTGTTTAACACACGATATGCCACAGAATTGTGCGAATATCTAAGGAAAATCCCTTCATCAGCTTTTTCTTGAAGCTTCGAAAGGTGATCCTTGAGATTCATAATGAAGCACCTACATCCGAAAACTCGGAAGAATTTCACATTAGGTTTACGATTATTGAGAATTTCGTATGGTGTAATATTAAATCGCTTGTGAATGAAAGATCTGTTCTGAGTAAAACATGCAGTGGATATAGCCTCAGCCCAAAGATATCGAGGTAAATTCGCATATGCCAACATAGTCCTTGCAGCTTTGCATAGTGATCCATTTCTTCATTCAACAACTCCATTTTGTTGCGAAGTGTATGGAGAAGAAAAATTATGCGAAATGCCTTTGTCCACCAAAAATGAATCAAGAACGTTGTTCTTAAATTCAGTTCCATAATCACTCTTGATTTTACGAACAATCTTTTTCAATGTTGTTTCCATTTTCTTGATAAAGTCAATCATGATTTGTGCCACTTCGGATTTTAATCTGAGAAAATAAACTCATGTGAATCTAGAAAAATCATCAATAATAACTAAGATATACCGTTTGTTGTTGAGTGTAGAAACTGCCGAAGGACCACATAAATCAATATGTAAAAGCTCCAATGGTTCGACAATCTTCGAATCAATTGTGATCGGATGACCTTATTTATGTTGCTTGCCAACTTCACAAGCTGCACATAAAGAATCATTATCGTAATTAAGCACAGGTAAACCTCTTACCAGATCTTGAACAATAAGTTTGTTGATGTTTCGAAAGTTGAGATGTGAAATTCTTCGAGGCCATAGCCAGCTTAGGTCAGATGTGGATTTTCAAAGAAGGCATACTGCAGGTTTACCTACAATCAGATTGATATCCAATGTAAACATATCACCTTTCCTCTTTGATTTGAGCAAAACTTCTTTTGTATTGACATTCGAAATAATGCTCCCTTCTTCGTTGAAAAGTACTTGATTGCCAGTGCCCGCAACAAGTTGAGAGACACTTATCAAGTTATGTTGTAGACCTTCAACATATGCAACTCGATTCACAGTAAATTGACCATTCGTCATCTTCCCATATCCATTGACTTGGCACTTCTGATTGTTTCCAAATTTAACTACTCCAACATTTTCCAAGCTTCGAAAGTCTCTTAGATTCTCCTTCTTTCCAGTCATGTGACGAGAGAAACAGCTATCAATATACCATTTGTTATCGTATTGTTCATCACATAGTACCTGTGATCATTGAAAGAATTTAGGTACCCAAGGCTTTTTGGGTCTTTGGAAATTAGATTTCAACATAGAATTAAACGAAGAATTTTTGACCCAATCACAAACTTTAGTCTTGAGACTATCAATAATGTCCACATCTTCATTTTTAGGGACCAAAATATAATATTTTGTTGGTTTCGGATGTTCAGTAACTTTACCCTTCGCATTTTGAGTTTGTGATTGAACTGTCTTTGCTTTTTTTACTGGTCTCCAGGCTTTGATGGAAATGTTCGAATCTTTTGATGATGAACTTCCATTCGAAGAAGTATTCACATACTTCTCATAAGCTTCGTTGATTTGCTCTTAAGAGTATTTGCTGGATTGATAAATTTTTCCTCTTCCTTCGAGCCAGTGATCTATATTCTTTCTTGAAGTTATGTCTTTTTCATGCGAAGCCTTCAATGTTTGTTTCTTCTTATGATTAGGAAAATTTGGCTTTTGAGGAATGAAATCTACTTTTGGTTTAGTAACAAAAGATTCAGCATAGGAGGTATTTACTGTTGATTTAAAATGTTGTCGTTGAGAAAATATCTTTGGTGGATTAGATTTATCTGAAATTTTTTTTTGAAATGGTAGGTTTTGACACTTTTGAAACCTTTGGTGTTGGTTATCCTTCAAACTTAGAACAAGTTGATTGACAAGAAGCTTGTTTTTCTTTTGACAAAGATGAATTTCACTTTGTAAATAACTTTTGGTGATTTTGGTTCAGACACATTTTTGTTTTGTTGAATGGGATTTTTCTTTTTGTCTAAAAAACTTTCTGAATTCATAGTCTTAACTGGTTTTGACGTTTCATTCATCATCTTTTGAGATTCTATTGTTTGCCAAAATATTTGCTTTCTTGCTTGTCTTTTTGAAATGTTATTTTTTTCGAAAATTTTTCAATTTGTTCTTTGAGTTCTTTTGAATTTAGTTTGACACCACTTTTAGTTTCCTCAACAACTGGTTTGGTGACTTATTTCTCAAATTTTGACTTTTCAACCCATTTTCTCTGTGTTTTTTGTCTTTGGAAAAATATGAATTCTTCATTAGATTATTTTCAGTTGTGCTCTGATTTGCGAAGAACCCACCATCGGATGTTTTCAAGTTGTCTTGTTCCACCAATTTCTTAAATTCACGTTTGATATTTTCAACGTTTCCAGTTGTTACGAACACTTGGTTTGGAAAAATACATCATCGGTACACTTGAAGTTCGGGTAAACCACAGTATTCGTTTCAAGATAATGACCACCTTGTTCATTCAATACTTTTTTGAACTTTTGTGTATCTCCATACACTTGGTCAACAACAAATTCGAGGAATTTCTTCTTCCTTTGAAACTTCCTTTTTCTTTGTTTGTTTCTCTTCTTTTTCATCATCACTATCATATGTTTGACTGTCTCTGACTTCCACAAAGTCCACATCACAAACTTTCAAAGTTGAGGGTTTATCAGTGTCAATCTTAACCAACAAACCCTTAACTTTTTCTTTCCCTTTAGATGATGATGCAACATTAATAATAAACAACTGAGAACAATGTTAACCAATTTACAATGTTAACCATTTCAGTCTTTTTCAAAATTTGAATTTGATCAGACTTAGTCAAAGTGTCATTTACAATGTTAACCAATTCAGTTGTATCAAGACATTCATTTACTTTGACTATTCCATATATATACCTATCATCAGGAACTTTATTAAATTCAGCTATTTCTTTCTCACAATCATACGAAATGTTATCTACCTTAGCTCTTTCATAAGCTAGAAAAGGCAATAATTTTCTATGTTGTTCTTTGCTTAATTCGCATGAATGATGTAATTCAGTTAACTTCGCATACAACCTCTTAGCCGAATTACAATATATGTTTCTCTGAGCTAACAGCAATTAATTTCACTTGACATGTTATCGCTATCAACCATGATGTTTTTATTTGAAGTTCTAAACAATCTACTTTAGCAATTTTCAAATCTAATTTCTTCTGTGTCTCTAGCAACTGCATAGACAGCTTCTTAGCCTCGTTGCTAGCAAATACCACAATTGAATCAAAATAAGTGACAGTTTAATCGAAATATACTAATTCAGAATTGTAAGCATTTACTGGAATATTGAAAGATTCAAGAATATTACGTACCTTTGTTGTCATTGGAGATTTGTCGGCAGCTTTTGATATGAAGCATCTCCCTTGTACTTCGTATGTCTCTTTATTAGATTCCTCCTCCATTTTCGCATACATGGCTCCGTGGGTCGGATTTCTCATCTCCTCATCATCTGATCCAGATGACCAGATTTGGTAAGTTCCATCTTCTTCCTGTTCTCCACGAGCAACCAAAGAGAGATTCTTCGCCTTCGCACGTACTTCATCTAGCTTCTCCGCATAGTACGCTTCATCTTTTGTCTGATTCTTCTTCTCATCCTTCTTCCTTAACATGCAATCATTGGCTAGATGATTAGCCCCATTGCAATAGTGACAGTCAATTCTAGCATCTCCCTTCAATTTCTTCTCACTTTTCCCTTCAACAAACTTTGCATCCTTCTTCTCTTCCTTCTTCTTCTCATCCCCAGCACTTTTACTCACAAAATTTCCTTTCACTTCAGATGACTTAGCCTTCAGATTGAATGGATTTTTGAAGAATTTTTTAACACGATTGTTCGAATAAAATGCAACCGCCTCATCATTTGAATTCATTATGAACCCCTCCTCTTCATCTGAAACATATTTATCTACTTCCCTCTCAGAAATCTTTGAAACCAAAGCTAGTGGACCTCCTAAACTTGCCTTCGTTTCTTCAGCAATTTCGTTAACCTCACTTTCATGTGACTTCAGCTGATTGTACATGTCATTCAAAGTTGATGTATCAAAGCTCTGTTGATTCTTAATCATCATGCTCACACTCTGCCACTCCTTCCGAAGACCCATAACGAAGATAAGATTGAACTCCATGGCTGATCTGGCAATTCCATATCGATTGCATCGATATATTAATTCATTCAGTCGATCGTAATAAACCTCAATTGTCTCACCATCTTTATGTCCGAAGTATTTTAGTTCCACCAAGCATTGTTTCACTGAATTAAGTCTAGTCTTTTCACTCCCCTGAAATTTCTCCTTTAGATTGTTCCAAATTTCCTTTGCAGTTGTACAACTCCTCACATAGATGTAAACAACTGGAGGCAATGCTCCTCGTAGCTCTCTCATGCATCTCTTCTCCAGCTTTTCCAGACGATCAGATTGATTCTCTACTACGGAACTCCCAGAAGACGATCCAATTGGTTGAACATTCGATGGAGGATTGAGATTACCAGAAATGCAAGTCCACAATTCTTCATCCAATCCATTGAGATAATCCTGCATACAATCAGCCCATTGATCGTAATACTCAGGGATTAGCATAGGAATTTCGGTGGATGATCCTAACAGATGAGAAAATGAAGTCATGGAATTGAGATTGAAATACGCCATTGATGTACGGAATAAAACTTTGAGAATTTTGAAGAAACTTTGAGAATTTGATAACAAGCTAGATGATTCAAATCGGAATCACTAGAAGAACACTCAATTCAACGATTCAAGTGCAGAATCGAATCGCAGACTAAGATCCAATGAATTTTTCAC